CTCTCTCTCTCCGGCATCTGTCCGTTTCCTGATTTATTTCTCCGTTTTCTGTATATTTATCCTTGCTGCATTTTCTATTTTATCTCGTCTCCTCTTTCATACCCAATCACACCCACAACACAGACTCTCTCTCTCTCTCTCTCTCTCTCTTTCTCTTCAATTCCAATTCTCCTTTCATTCGTCATCTGTCTTCTCCATCTTCTCCTTCGACGTTGAGCGATGACTTATTTAACTTCTTCCTAATTTTATTTTATTTTGTTCCACTACTTCTTCCGCTGACAGCCATACAGACCACACAGACCACTCTCAATCTCCAAACANTCTGTATATTTATCCTTGCTGCATTTTCTATTTTATCTCGTCTCCTCTTTCATACCCAATCACACCCACAACACAGACTCTCTCTCTCTCTCTCTCTCTCTCTTTCTCTTCAATTCCAATTCTCCTTTCATTCGTCATCTGTCTTCTCCATCTTCTCCTTCGACGTTGAGCGATGACTTATTTAACTTCTTCCTAATTTTATTTTATTTTGTTCCACTACTTCTTCCGCTGACAGCCATACAGACCACACAGACCACTCTCAATCTCCAAACCACACACCACACACCTTCTCTCTTAAGATCCACCACAAAGGGGCACTTTCTAAAAGAGAGAATAAGTGCGGATTAATATATTTCACCCAGCAACACCACAACCACCACCACACCAGCATGATTAATTATTTAATTATTATATTGTAATGCATTTTGGAGTTTTGATCACACACAGGAGCATGGGCATCCTTGCTCCCGCATCAATTCAATATCGATATGATAACACACACATACACACTTATTACATAATAAAAGAGAGTAATAATACTTACTTATCATCCTCACCGATTGTACTTGTGCTCCCTGGCGCCGCCCATCTTCCCCCCGCCAAAGTGCACTCCATCGCCGGGCAGCGGANCTCCACCTTCTTTTCACCGATTGTACTTGTGCTCCCTGACGCCGCCCATCTTCCCCCCGCCAAAGTGCACCCCATCGCCGGGCAGCGGACTGTCGAAGAGGAGCGGGCTGAGGAAGACGGTCAGCGGCCAGCGAGGACCGAGCGTCTCGAGGAGGTTCGCCCGCCAGCCGCCCGCCAGGCTGTACTGGGTGATGCCCTTCGCCCGCTCGTAGGTGGTCTGGTTGCGCGCCAGCAGGTTGAGGTGGTAGGCGAAGAGGCCGCCGCTGAAGAGCGCCCCGATCAGCGTCAGCATCGAGAGGAAGTTGCACAGCGTCGTCCACCGGTCGATGTACCCCAGCAGGTAGAAGGGAATGGGAATGAGGTGGGCGGCGGCGTTGCCCACGCTCAGCCCGCCCATGTTGCCCCAGACGTAGGGGCTGTGGAAGGCGAAGGCGTACACCGAGCCGAAGGCCACCTGAAAGAGCAGGCCCATGTAGTACCTAGGAGGGGGTGGAAATAGCCATTTAGAACTCGAGAGAAGATGATGGTCAGCCTGAACATCAACTTACTTGTAGTTCTTGTGGCCAACGCAGCAGGCTGGTAGGAGATGGATAAAGAGAAAATGAGGTAGTAAAAACAACAAAAGTATCTCAAAGCTTACCACTGAAGACGCAGTGGTGGTCTCGCCGGAGGATGCACCGATCACAGTTTTTGCAGTGAAAAGCTCTCGGTGGCGAGTTTGCCTCGCACACCAGACAGTACCGCCAGTCGCCGGCGGCCCTCGGCGGCAGCGTCGCCGGCATCACCAGCCCAACTGTTGAAGTGTCCGTCGCCACCAGGCGGTACAGGTTCCCGTAGAGGTTGAGCATCACCACCAAGCCAACTAGCAGGTGAAGGGTGGTGTAGCGGTGGCCGTGCTCCTCCAGGTACGGCTTCACCGCGAGCACCTCGAAGAGGAAGACCACCAGGACGGCCACCGTGAGGAAGGTGAAGGCGGTGATGTCGCCTCGCTTGAAGTTGAACATTG